CCCCCCCCCAAAAAAAAGAAAGAAAAAAAAGAAAAAGAAGAAATTGTGTGTTCACTCTCAAAACATATTTTATTTGAAATGCCAACTGGACATCTGGGGTATGTGTCCAGTAGGCATAGGAAAAATGGATCTTCAGAAAGGTCAAGGCTAGAGATAGGGATTTGGAGGTCACATGCACAGAGATGTTAGTTGAAACCATGGGATGATACTGTCATGGCAGAGAATCTAGAAGAAGAGACAAAAGACTATGGAGAGAATCTTGAGCCAATAAAATTTATAAGCACAGTCTTAAAATCAAAAACTTTGGTTTTGTGGGGTGTTTTTAAATCCCATAGTCTTTAATTGTCCTTGAACAGTAAATTTAAGGTTGGTTTGTTTGTTTTTTAATGGCCATTATATAGTACTCATTCTTTAAGTACTGGTATGCTGTGAGAAGAAAAGATTTAAAGTAAAACATCACACAATATCCAAAGAACATTCTTCAGGAAAAAAACTCAAATGTGTAGTGGTAGAGTGTTGGTAGGGTAAGTTCTTAGGTTCTTATTTTCTATTCAAGGACATATTGCATATGACAGGAAAATTTGCTTCCTCTGCTGCACAATAAGCTGCTACAAATCAAGCTGGAAAGCAAAAGGATGCACAGGAAGGTTTAAAGGCTATTGTGGCACTGCATTCCTTCCTTCCTATTCCTCCTTCCAAATTCTTCCCTCATACCTGTTTTCTTCCACTCTGATACCCATTTAACTCCACATACCTTTATTGATTTCTCTCATCTACCTAGCCCTACAATGTTGATACACAGTATAAATGAGATACAAAACTCTTGGTTCTGGAATTTATTTTTTTAAATGATTTCACAAAGAGGAGGGAAAAATGTGGAGAAGTCAATTCAAAACAAAGTAAACATTATCAGGGGCAGCTAGGTGGTGCAGTAGATAGAGTACCGGACCTGGAGTCAGGAGGACCTGAGTTCAAATCCGGCCTCAGACATTTGACACTTACTAGCTGTGTGACCTTGGGTAAGTCACTTAACCCCACTGCCTAGCCAATAAAAAAAGTAAACAATATCATAACATAGTAAAAACAAGTGTTTGTATATACATTTTGGCAATTTAAAAAAAATGTCTTGTAATTACAAACATGCTAAGAAACTGCCCCCCAAATAGAATCATTTTTACTATTTATTAGATAACTTCACTAGTTGGACAGTTACTAATGCTCAAAGTAGAAAATTTATTTCTCTGTACTTTACATGTCCAAGTTACAAAGCGTACACAATAAAGGGTAAGTCTGGTTTGAAAAAGAAAAGAGAGATGGCTTACGACGGGAGATCTTTGGCAGCTCTCAGACCCCAGCCTTTCTTTTCAGTTAGTATCACTTCCACATCTGCATGCTGTTTTCTCTGGAATCGTCTATTTGAACAATAGTCTCCATTTGGACACCGGGAAGAACTGAAATTAGATGGTAGTAAAAATTAATTGTTAGGAACTAACTCAAAAAGGTCAGTTTGACTCTTAGATACATCATTCACATATAATCCCATGTATACCTATAAGCAGCACCTTACACTTACAGAGCAGTTTATATATTCTTTCACAATAACTTTGTGTAGTATATAATTATCCCCACACAATAAATGAATAAATTAGGCATCAGAGAGGTTAAATTATCTAATTGTGGCCACACTTTTAAATTTCAGAACTAGGGTCAAATGAAGTCTTTTAATTCTATTTACAGTGTTCTCTTTCCACTACAAACAGATAGGAGTTTTGATTGTCGTCATTTTAGTGATTTTTCCATTAAATGTGATAATACTGACTATACACATTCTCTTTAGAATTTTACACAAGACAACACTAGTTTCCTATCTCATAATATGTACATACAGGCTATCTTGCAAAGGCTGAATCAATATGAAGTATGCTTATTACTCTGTACAATTTATTATTTTCTTTAATCCCCCATCAAACCTGCTTCCCATTAGTTTGGGTCACTTGATACATTCAACTGCCAGATCAATATCTGAAGAAAAGTCTAGCTTGATGAACACAGGCCTGCCACTTAAGAATGTTTGTTTGCTCAGAGTGGATACAAACTCTAATGACAACAGCCTTTTCTTCCTCTGGTCAGTACCCCAAAAGGAATGGCCCAATTAAAACAAGTACCAGGTACCAACAAGGATGGACAAAAAAAGTTGAAGATCTAGCTCCTGTTCTCAAGTAATTTACCCTCAATATAGGAAGGAAATTACAGGAAATATTGAATAAGATGAAAATGCCATTTCAAGACCATAGAAGAGATGTTAACAAAACAACTGTTTAAAATAGTACTAAGAATAGAACTCACTTCAGGCTGAGGTGAAGAGGAAAAACTTTCACAGAAGAAGTATTTGAGCTGGATACATAAGGATGAAGAGTAATTTGGGACAAAGTTGGAAAGGCAGAATGGGTATAGAGGGCCTTGACAATCAGGATAAAGAATTTGTTATTCTGATAGCAAAAAGGTTTTTAAGAAGGGAAATGACAAGTCCAAAGGAAAGCTTTAGATAAATTCATCTGGCAGGAAAGACTAACAAAGGAGGGGCCAGCGGCAAGAAGACTTATTCTAATTACTTGCTTTTCTCTTTTCTTTAAGAAGATTTCTCCATTTCTTGTTTGAAAAAAGGAAAACCCAGAATAACACCCACTCCTACCTCTCCAATTCACTTTGGGTTATATAAAGATTAACATGGCAATTAGCATATGGTAATATTATATCTTGAATCTAATCAAAAGGATTCCAGTATCTTAAAAAATAAGAAAGATGGCTTCTTCCCCCCTTTTTTCCTGCAAAGGTAATAGGTTACATAGTACAAAGAAAATTGGTTTTGGAATCTGAAGACTTGCATTCAAGTCTCAAGCTATGATACTTACCAGTTCTACAACCCTGGACAAGTCACCCAATTTCCCTGAGCATTTGTTTCCTTATCTGTAAAATGGGCATAGTAATACCTATTCTAACTACATTAACATGTTGTGTGTATACAACTTTAGAAAATGTTACAGAAATGCACATTACTTTTAGAGAATGTTATATCTGAAACAGTTCTGGACCTGAGTTCAGTTCAGACATTAGTTGTGTGACCCTGAACAAACCACAATCTAAAACTGTTTCCTCATCTATAAAATATATTTATATTATCTACCTGACCACAGATTTTTGTGATCAAAGTGACTTTCAATCTTACAACACCACATAAACATAAGATCAAATGTACATATAGTTATCAGTTGCCCAAACAATCATACTCTTTCATATTAAAAAAAATACTGCCCCCCAAATAAATGGATATATCAGAGACAGGAATCTAGATGAACATTTCATTAATTTCTATTTGATATACAGAAGTCATATTTAATAGTAGATTAAGTATTCACCATGCTTCCAGCATAATTGCTGAAGGCATCAAATATTTGTATTAAAAAATGTGAAGAGCCTAGGTACTAAGGCAAAAAGGAGCTTTAAGCATGCATAATGAAATGGACGTGAAGGATGGTAGAGAAAAAGAGGTGACACCACAGAGAATAGCACTAGAAAACATGGCAATTTCTAAAATCATATCTAAACAGAAGTCTGGAATCCACAGACTAAGAACAGAATAAGAAGCCAGACTCTCTCAATTTTCTTTGCCAGTCTCATCTCAGTTGAGTATACACAATGTGAGAAAGAAATGTGCCTACTGCCCATGTTTTAAGGTGACTCTCACTTCACCACCTTTACATAATCCATAAATCTAGATCCAGACCCTTTACTAGAATTGCCATTTTATTATAAACAAATATGCTATGAATCAATTAGGAAAGGCCAAATCTAAGTGTCTAAAGACAACAGCAACTTTTCTACTGCCACTCCTGAAAATATCATTCTGGTAAGAATAGGGATTGGACTGGTAATTTTACTGGTATTCAGATCTCCTAGATAAGGAAACTATTTCTACCAATGAAGATCAGTACTTTCTCTGCAACTTATATTCTTAAGAAAGTTGCCTATAGCACTGGTTAAATGACTAGCTAGGGTAGCACAGCCAGTAGGAGCCAGAGATGGTACTGCTGTCCATCACTAGGTAAACATTTATTGAGCAGCACTAAATTCTACAGTCACAAAAGAAAACGTAATTGTTAATACATCTTGGCATAGACTATTATCCCAAAGTAGTTTACTGATAAATATCTAAACTACATGTTCTCAAACGTTTTGCCAATTCTGTCAAAAAATGGAAATGTCTAGTTTAACTTTTCCCTTTTCCCTGGGCTGCCACGACCTAGCTGTGTTCCTTGCTCAAGGTCACTTAACTTCAGTAGGCCTCAAATTTTTGTGTCTGTAAATTATTTTAATATAATATTTCTAAGATCCTCTTAGTCATCCTAATAATGTTGTCAAAGAGTTAAACTACTTTAGGATACCTAGAAGAGATAGCAAATGACAAAAGAGATTAAAAACAAACAAACAAACAAACAAACCACTAAGATATTTGCCCTGTCCCAATCAGGATCATCAAGAATTCCAGAAAACCATCCATCACAACAGAACTTTCTTTATGGCCCTACTACAAAGAATGACAATCTCTACAGCCAACTGTACTGATGACAGTGATCTGACAGAGCAGACAAAATATTGAAAGTACAGGCACACAGAATATAATGAAACAACTGGAAAAATAAAAAAAAGCTAGTATTCCAAATAAAATTATATTTACCATTCTATCATGAGGAGACGATTGAGACAATCTTCCCCACATGCTATTTCTCCTTGAGCTCTATCATCTTTAGAAACAGGTGTACACTCACATTGCATTCGCTTGATATCCCGATGGGATTTATTCTTCTTTCTAATAAGTAAAATTTTTAAAAATGGGTTAACTAAGAGCAAATGAAATAACTGATATTTCTAAGTCAAACTTAGCCTTAAATAGATTCATTGTATATTTTTTGCTTTCTAAATGAGATAAAATCTCTAAAAACAATGAAAATTCAAAACAATACGACTTTTAGTCAACCAAGGTCCTGATAAATCATTACTTATGGGTCATGGGTTAACTCAAGACTATTCTCTTGGAACCCAGAGCTTGCTTCCTTCCTCCAGGTCTGTTAGGAGTTCACTCTAGTACCTCAAATCACTGAACCGACTTGGACTGGGCTCAGGAGGAAATCAGCAAAGCTGTTGTACAACAGTGACTCAGCTAATTAGGGACCAGCTCCATCGAGTTTTAGACTCAGTCGTCTTGAAGGACACACAGCGGTTACAGGGGCAGAGGGAAAGAGGCCTCTGTCAGAAAGTAAGGTAGGAAACACAGAACACGCAGTTAAGGGTTTTTATCGATCCCCTTTTAGAGGACTGAGGACTCCTTCAAAACTACTACCCAGCAGTGCCTAACAAAACAGAATAATGATGAAGACAGCAGTTCTGTGACATAGTCGTCATCATACCCCTATGGTGAACTGTGCTAGGTGAAGAAATAAACCAAGGAAAAGCAGGAGTTCATTCAATTACATGTGTATAATTCTTTTAAGAAAGGAAAACAAATGTATATTCAACTAGAAGTGTGACTCCCTGCCTCTGCTTTAACTCCATCAGGATCCTTAAAAATGGGAAATAGAGGATGAGCTAAATGACTTCTATTACTATGATCCTTACAGTACCTTAAATGTGTTTGATGATCACTATATTTTTAGTGCCAAGCAGAAATGAATAAAGCTACCTCCACAAAAAGGGATAGAATGATACTACCCTTCAAATGACAAACAGGAGAAAACAGCCTCATTTTAATCTTAGCTTGTCTCTCTTTTTTTCCTTTGTATATGTAGTGGTTCATATCTTTGTAAAGCATCTAAAGAGTGTGATGAGTATCAAAACTTTCCAAAACAATAATTTCAGAAATTATTGGCATGTGCCAATTAAATACGTTCTTCATTAATCTCAGGTGGGCTCTTTGTGGAGCTATCTCTCAATATGCCAAAAATATCAAGTCATGCACTTGGGTTCAAAAAAATCAACTGTGCAAGTGACAAGATGGGAGCAAATATGGTTAGCAAACCATTTATGTGAAAAAGATTTGGGAGTACAAAATGAGACAGGAGTATGACTTCACAGCAAAACAAACTAATGAGATTTTAGGCTGAGTTCATTGTAGAATACTGTACTCAGACTAAGGGAATATCATATTACTAAAAAATCATGTCCAGGCCGAGATAAACAATGTGGAAGGGACAAACACAATACATCCAGATAATGTCAACCAGTCTAAACTGCCTTAGCCATGATAAGACCTAAGAGTATTGAGAGATGACATGACTGACAAAGTATTTAGAAGGTTATCTTGTAAAAGTGGGATTATACTTCTGTTTGGCCCCAGGGGGAGGTGATCCACTAAATATAAAATACAGAGAAGCTAATTTAGGTTCAACCTAAGGAAAGAATAACTACTCGATCTATTAAAAAGGGGGATGGGTCACCTCTGGAGGATAAGTTCTGTTGTTGAAGGCCTTCAACTGAAGGACAGGTAAATACTTGTCCAGGTTACCACAGATAGGATTTAAGAATTGTTAAGGGGTTGAACTATTATGACCTCTGTGGCTTCTTCTAACACTATGTTAAACAGAAGTCATCTGGGAAGTGTTACCCACTAAAAATTCCAATCAAATTTATTACCATTTGATAACAGTATCTGGATGTTACTTATATTAAATATATTATCTTTGGTAGTAGAAGTAGTAGTAGTAGTAGTAGAAGCTTCTGAATTGTCTCAACTGAGTGACACACAGCTATTTAAAAATAAGGCTAACATGTGGCAGGTAGCTGGTGCAATGGACAGATCACCGGCCCTGGAATCCAGAGGACCTGAGTTCAAATCTGACCTCAAATATTTGACACGTTCTAGCTGTGTGACCTTGGGCAAGTCACTTAACCCCGAATGCCTTGCAAAAAATAAAAATAAGGCTAACACAAAACTTAGGTCAAATATAAAAATGGCATCTAGAGCAACGGAAACAATTTTTCTACTATATTTTGTAATGGTCAGAAATCTGAATTATTATTTCAGGTCCAGTGCCACATTTTAAAAGGAAGTACAAAATGAAATATTATCCAAAGGACAATAAACAATGTGGTGAAGGGTCTGTCTGGAAACCATGAAGAACTGAAGGAACTAGCTATGTTTAGGCTGCAAAAGAGAAGACTTAGGAAGACAAGATTTGAATATCTGGAAGGCTTCCATCATATAAGAAGGGAGCAGATTCATTTCATATTATTCCAAAGGGCAAAATTAGGAGCAATGGACTTAAGTTTTAAAAGGGCAGATTTTGACTAACAAGAACTTGCTAATGAAAAGAACTACCCAAATGAAGAACAGGCTGCCCTAAGAGCTAATGAGCTCCCTTTCACTAGGGGAATTTAAGCAGAAGCTGAATGGCTGTCACAGACGCTGTAGGTCAGATTTTTCACCAAGTGGGAGAGTTCAACTAAATCAATCTCTAAGGTCTCTTATAATTCTTAAGATTCCACAACTGATTTTAGGGCTCTAAAAGTGAGCCACTGGCTTATTAAAGATTCTCAAATTACAATAATATTCTTTAATCTGATAGTTTCAATAGATCCAGGTCTTCCAAAGAAGAATGAAAAGCCCACATTTCAGTTATCTCAAACATTTGCCACTCTATTTATTATTTCTGACTCAAAAAATGGTATTCTTTTGTGAGGCACCAACTAATCATATCATGCAACTATCATTGGACACCATAGAGTTCAACCTTAAAGTCTAAAGGTTATTAATGTATAGGACAACAATTAAAAGATTCTTTTGCATGACATAAAAATTAAGTTATTTTAAAGGAACCTAATGAACCTTTTAAAATTGAGAGACAGCCATATTGGAATATTTAACAGATCTAGAAGTACTTTCATACTCTTGCTAATTTGGATAATTATATATATAACCTATGACTGACTGAATTATTTGGTACTATGGATTTGTGAGACAATAAGACATTGTACATATCTGACTTGTCAAATTCTGTCAAGTGACAGAAAGGATAAAAGAAAATGACAAAAGTTGCTACATTTAAAAAAAAATTTTGAGAATAATTTCCAAGAATTTTAAGTATATACTTCATAGAGAAGTACAACAGAAGAACCTTAGGAAAAAAAGATTAAACTTATAAACTGCTAAGAAAAAAGAAGTTTCCTCTCTAGTAACTTACACATTTAAAAAATGGCACAGGCCTAAACTTGACATGTTCTCACAAAGTAGTATCTACCAATTTTTTAAATTCCAAAACAAAAACATCTTCCTTTACAAATCAAAACAGGGATGAGTAATTTTCATGCCATGCAATGAAAAATCAGGGCCAGACAGACCTCTAGTTTGTCAGTTTAAAAACAAACAAAAAACCTCTCAAATTTTGAGGATGCAAAAATTAGACAAATTGTTATGGAATACCTGCTGCGTTACTTACCTTTCTGTTAAGTATACATTTTCTTCAATAAGGTCAAAATAACAAGGCATTTTCCCCTGCCTGGCACATTCCTTCCAACGCTGTGGGTCCCTGAAGTCATCCATAACACACAGTGGACCAACCAACGCTGAACCTGAGGGCAATGTTTCCAACTGCTCTACCTCCACTCTCACTTTTTTCCTGTCCTGCATATCAGAATCACTTTCTGAATCACTTTCTAATTCCTGCCGTCTTTTCTTTGGAGGCCCTCGATCTTTCACATCACCTTTTTCCAGGTTCTTTGGAGGGACTTTCTTTTCATTTACAATTGAAAGGTCTTTAATTGAATTGCTACTTATTTCATGTGCTTGCACAGATCCTTTCTCTCTATTAAGATGTGCAAGAAATTTACTAGACTGGTTGGAAAAATGAGGTCTACGAGGATCATCCCAATTTTCCTCATCTTCCTCTTCATGGTCATTTGTTAAGGAATCTGGTACATGTCCCTGTACTCTATCATACATAATACCAGGAGGCTTATTGGCCAATCTTGGGTCCCAAAAGCCATTGCCTTGCCAGTAATTATGTGTGCTACGATACTGTTCTGCATTTTGCTGAAAACTGTATCCAGTATATATTCCATAGCTGCTATCCGGCTGCTGATAAGTGGTACTGGGTTTTTCTGGTTGGGAGAAGTCCCAACCCAGATTTCCAAGATCTTCTGCTGAATGGAAACCATCCACTTTAGAGAAGTCCCCTGAGGAAGAAAAATTGTCTGAATCTGCTTTTCCCAGTCTACTGTCTGGCCCATTAGGGAAATTATTCTGTTGCCGAGATTTCGTTAGGATACCTTCAAAACCATCAGAAGAATAAGCTGGTAGCTCTTCTTGCTGCCTCAGGATGGGTTTAGTTATGATCAATGACTCTTTAGATGCAGTTCTTTCTTCTAGATTTTTCAGACCAATTGTATCAGATACAACATCTGCCTGACTTGTACTATCAACCCCATCACTCTGAGGCTGAGCTGCTTCTAGCTCAAGGTCCCCCATCTGTTTTCTGCTTGGCTCCACATAAGGAACTTCTGGGCTTTTATCTGCTCCTTTAGGAAGAGAGAATTTCTCAGTGTGAGAACAATTTTTGCTCATCATTCCCTCAAACCTTTCATCATAAGGTTTGCTTGATTCTGGTCTGTCATCTTCCCAATTGTCAGAATAGTGTCTATTAACTTGGCTGCTTTGAGATGAGCAAGGACTAGTTTCTTCCAGAGGCAAAGTAGAATTCTTTGGCACAACAACAACTGACTGGAGACGGTTCCTTGGAATACTGCTGTCATCAGAATCTGTATCCTCTGTATCACTTTCATCACTTGTGCTCTCTGAAGAATCAGAATAATCTCCATGGATGGGAGAAACAAACTCTGATGCATTGCCACTACTGTCACATTTAGGGGCATGAGCAACACTATCTTCTTCTTCTTCTACAGTTCCACTCACATCACAAGATGAAAACAAAGACTCTGAAACACTAGAAATAAACATGTTTCTACTTCCTTCCTGTTTGCTAAATGGCTCTTCTGTGGATGCAGCTCTCTCTCTTCCACTGGGAAGTGTGACATTTGCTTCCTCTTGTACCTCCTCTGTTTGTAAAGATTCCATAGGCAGTCTACTTTTATGTCTATTCTTCCAGGGTACAATTCTTTTTCCTGTTTCAGGATTTATTTGCTGTTCATCCAATTCTGTAATTTCTATTCCTGTGTGTTTCAGAAATTCTGTGCTTTGGTTTTGTAGGACAGTATCCAAACCAAGAGGCAAGTTCCCTTCAGTGTGTTGTACTACAGGTGAATTGTGTATTTTGATTCCTAACGTAAGGCTACACACAGAAGCAACACTTGAACTTCCTACAGCTGAATTTGAGTCACAAGGGTTAACAGATGATGACTTTACCCTAACGTTTTGCTCAGGTTCTTCAGCTGTAGGCTGTATTGAATGAAGATTCTTATAGCTTTTATTATCACATATTACTGACTGTAACTCTGAATCTTGTTTAATAAAACTGTTTGGGATAACCTTTATAACTGCAGGCTCAATATTTTCAGTTTCAAGCTGATACAAACAAGGGCTATTGTCATCTAAATTATTACAAGAGTTCAAATCTTTGGTTTTACAGTAAGAAACTCTCAAATCAACTGATTCTTTAACTGTTTTAGAATAATCTACAGTTACAACCGGAAAAGACCCAAGTTTATCTTGTTGTGAAGGAACTGAAGGGTCCATTTCTTTAAGTGAGCTGTTTAACTCACTGTGCTGTATTGAAGAATCATCCAAATTCTTTTCTTTAGACCTGTTTATACTTTGAAATCCATTTGATGGTAATATGCATGATTTACTAGTTTTTATCAAAGGAGATACCTCTGATCTATTTATACTATCATCCGAAGACGTAAAAATATCCTCAGTTTTAGAGGCACAGAAAGTTGCTAAATCAGATCCCTCCCCAGGAGACCCATTTATATCTAATTCCATGGGATAGTAAGTTCTTAATTGATCATGTTTCCCCTTAGATAAAGTGTCTAATTCCTTAATACTATCATGGCTATCATTTCCCAGAAATTCAGACTTCAAAATAGGAGATTCACCTAGCTTTTTAAAAGTAGGTGAATCATTTAATCGATTAGTTGAAGATGGAGATATAGTTTTATCTCTTTCAGGAATTTTCACAACCATTCTTAATTCATTAGATTTTGAACAAGTAGTCTGTAAATTTGAAGAATGAGATTGATGTTTAATTTCCTCAGTTGATTCTGTACAACAGAAAGAACTTTTAATTTTATCAGGCTTTTGTGTACTTTTCCATGGGACTGACTTATTCCGGGAAGCAGTACTGTCATGTTTAGAATAAGATGCACCCCTCCGACATCCCATCTCATTAGGGGGAGAGCAACATCTTTTCATTAATTCATTTTCTGAAGTCCTTTTTGATTCTCTTTCTGGTTTTGAGGAATACTTTCCTCTTTTCTCTGCATCCATGTGGAAGGATTCAATTTTGCTGTCCCGATCAGATTTAGAGTAAGTTGATGTCCTTGAGTCTCTGTAAAATGAAGAATGAGAAGATATCCGTCTTGAGTCACTAGACCTGGAATATATCTTCTTATATTCCTCTTCTGAATCAGAGCTCTCTCTCATCCTATTATCCGTATAAGAACGGGAATACCGTGGCCTCTCTCTATAAGGGGAGTTCCTATGGTACCTTCGTTCAGACTCATAATAATGTGAGCGCTCTGACCGGGAATAAGATGAGCTAGTTCTAGATCCTCTGTCAGATCTAGAGCGAGACCTGCTCCGCCTTCTCTCTCTCTCAGATCTAGAACGGGAAGACATATATCGAGAATCTCGATCTAGTTTTGAGTAACTAAAATGCTTGTCATCTCTCTCAGTTTTAGATCTTGAAGATTTTCCTAAATCTTCGCCTTTTAAAGTAGTTAAGCTCTTTTTCGAATCTCTTTCTTTTTCCATATTTGCTGAATTCTTAAAATCATGTGACCGTTGACTTGAGGAAGTCTGTACAGAATCCTCATCTGATTCTGAACCAAGAAACATGCCTTCAGATTGTGAGAATTTCTTCTTAGAACTTGTTTTTTTAGAACACAGAGAACTCTTTGAACTATCTGGAGTTTCTTCTTCCTTCCCAATATGGGAATCTTCTTTTTGTGGAGATACATCCGTTTTCTCAGACACGTTCTGAGATACTGTATCTGATAGTTCAGAAGAACATGTATCTTGCTTAGTGTCCAATTCTAAAGATTCTGGTACTACTATATTTAAAGACTCTTTTGAGGCTCTAATTGCTACATCTATTGGTGGGGATTGTAATGATGTCCCCACTGGTACTGATGGTGGTATTTGTGGCAAGGCTGTTGTTACTGACATTGGTGCTGGTGGAGATGGTGTTCTAACTTGTAGGGCTGGGGGTGGTGGAGGGGGCGACTGTGGTGGTGACTCTGCCACTACTGATCCTGTTACTACTGGTGATGGTATTATGGAAAGAGGTGGTGATGCTGCTACTGGTGTGACAGCAGTTAGTAGAGGCTTAGATGTAACATGAAGCAAATGTTTCTTAAAATGGATTTTGCCCAATTCCACCTTTGGTTTTGGTGGGGAAGATTCTTCTATAATAGTTGAAGTATCTCCAGGATCCATTTTAATTTTGGGAACAAAATCTGCTTGAAGGGGAACAGCCGGGGAGTTTGGAGTGTCATTCTGCTTATCATTTCCAAGTGCAGTTAGAAACCTGTTTTGCAAAGTTTTCTTTGTAAGGCTGAAGCTGAATGAAACCTTCTGTCGCCCTTGCTCCTCCAGGTTCACCTTTGTCTTGGTGCCTTTAGGCAGAAATCGACTAGATGCAACACCTTTGAACATTGGACCTTTGATGAAACCCATTTTCTGCACATTTTCAATCTTTCCCTGTATTGAACAAAAACAAGTAGTCATTACTACAACAGTTCCTTTAAACTGGGCTGCTTGGTGTGAATTTTCAATGGACGGTGAAAATAAACTCAAAAGCCTTCTAATGTCTGAGAAAATGACTTTCTTACTTGTCGTGGGAATTGTGGTCATTATGTGCATAGAATTTTTTACATCATACAATTACAGTAATAAGATTCTGGAAAACCACCACTTAGGAGAACTCTGGAGAGTTGAGTAAAAGAGAACATGAGGAAGTAGGTAGAATTGATGAGGGCTCCCTCTAGTGAGGAAACTTGCGAAAGGTTCAACAAGGAGTGAGAGCTTTAGATATAGGAAAGAGATGAAGGTGGCTTGGTTGCTGGCTCTAGGAGGGAGTTCTAGGGGATGATAGTGCTACAGACAATAGGTCCAGATGTTAGCATAAGTGAAGAAGCTAAGCTTCCATTTCCCTTAGAAAACCTGAAAAGGGTGGCATGCTTTCTCAGAAACAGCAGGGTAGAGGGAGAAGCAGAAACCTGTATACCATTGCACAGTAAACACTAGAAGAACCAAGTAGGAGAATAGATCACATGATCATAGGTTCAGAACTTGAAAGGATTTTAGAGGTTATCTAGTTCAACTCCTTCATTTCACAGATGAGGAAACCGAGGCTCAAAGAGGTTAAGTGACTTGCCCAAGGTTGCACAGGTAGTACATAGCAGAAACAGGATTCAAACCCAAGGGTACAGGTAGGCCAAGTCCCAAGGCATACAGAGAGAAGAAAGGGGTAACAAGCCATGGAGCCATCCCAGATCAAAGTAGCTCCAAGGAACTTGACCAACAGGAGGTTTCCTGCATCTCCCAACCTTCTATTCACTCTAACCTTGAAATTCACCCAAGAATATGAAGCCAAAGTGATGGCATTTCAAAAGCTTTATCACAAATATTCCTCAGGATCTACTTCATAGAAAAAAAGCAAAAAGTTGTGTTAATTCAATTAAAATCCTTTTTTGATTGTGATTAATGCAATTAACATAAAACTATCAAGAACAAAAGCTAATAATATCACAAATCAGAAAAGGGGTACTCTCCTTTTGAGATAAACCACAGCATACGTTTTATTGGCTCTTAAGAAATAACCTAATCCATTACTTTCATTTTATAGTGAGTGAAAAACTGAAGTTCAAGAATGTTCAAAAATGTTTACTGAATGCCATAGCTGGCACTGGCAGCCACAACTACAACCTAGGCTTCCTAAAGGACCCGGTCAAGTGCTCCTCCCATTATATTACAGTGGATCCATTTGTCTACAAATGTAGATATGGCAATCTTAAAGACTGCCCCAAATTATACTGACTAGTAATACAACTCTTGAAAGAAATATGTGGGAAGAAAACATAATAACTTTGGTGTTCCGCATCTTTTGTGCTTTTTAACAATCTCATTCACTTCCTTAAAACCCAATGCTTTTCCTTTTTTCCTGTTAATGCTCAAACCTGCCTGATCACAAATAAATCTATAAAAGACAGAAAACCCTAGATAGCTTCTGACACTGCTTAACAAGCAGGAATTACAAATTGCCTTTATATATCAAAGAAAGAATTTTTTTTAACTCTATGATGTAAACCACCAAAATGAATACTAAGCTTCTGTGAGGTAATAAATAGGGCATGAGAATTAATTCAGGCTATCATACCACAATTCTTAGAAAATTTTAGATAAAATGCACTTTAACTTAAGTATGGGATACTTGACAAATTCAGTTTGACAAATAGCCAGTTTATCACCCAATTCACTTTTAGCAAAACTATTTTTAGGTAATTATTTTTACCAATGCAAAGAATTCTGAAATCAGTTTAAGTTGTGCACTGAAATGTTTTAGTTGAGAAGGACAGAAAAGATCAGAATTCCTGAGACCTAAGTATTACTAAAGATCAAGGTAACACTAGACAAAATTATCTTTAGTTTATGTTCAATCCATAGCAATTCCTTATAGAATTAATTTTTGCAGCCTGTATCCAAATCTAATAGGCACTAGAATATAAAAGCAAGCCAATCCACAACCTTGAAAAAACTGATTCAACTGTACTCACCTCATTTTCTTCTTCTCTATTGTAATCCAGCCAAGAACACATGAAAAAGAAAACAGAAAAAAAAAAACCTCCTGTAAATACTTGAGAATTTTTAGAAACTGAAGGCAATGCTTAAGAGTTGTTTATTCCCTTTTACCCCAAAATAATAAATCTCTTAGGACTATGTAAGTAAGATAATTTTAAAACGCGCAATCTGAATAGAACATACCTCTGTTTCTAATCATGAGGATTTAAAATCTAGTAATTCCAGTATTTTAGAGAAACTTTGATGCCATGACAATGCACAGAGGATTACATTATTATTACAAAGGATTACACATTAATACACCAGACCCTACCATCTTATTTAGCCTATCACTGAATATAAATACCAGCCACCAAAACAAATGAAAAAGTCTCCTTTCAGTCTAAAACAATTGCATTGGTGGGTATCGTGTTTTTAAATAATACACTGCTGTACCAACCACAAATCTTCATTTACATATTTAACATACTTTGGTATTAACAATTTTGTTCATTCAATAACTAATTAAGCACACTGTGTGAGACAAGAAAATTAGTATACAGTTCCTGCCCTCCAAGAACTTACAATGTTTGCTAGTTTATTTGGAAGAAACTAGACATAGATCAACATCTCACACTGTATATAACAATATGTGGTCAAAATGGATAAATGACTTAGACATATGGGTGATATCATAAATAGATTAGAAGAGCATGGAAAAATGTACCTGTCAGATCTATGGATATAGGAAGAGTTTATGACTAAACAACAGATAGGAGATTACAGGAAATGAAACAGTTAATTTTGAATACTGGAAATTAAAAAGGTTTTGCACAAATAAAACTAATGCAACCAAAATTAGAAGGGAAATAGGAAACTGGGAAAAAATTTTCCAACAAATTTCTCTGGTAAAGGTTTTATTTCTCAAATATATATGAACTGAGCCAAATTTATTAAAAAAATAAGAACCATTATGCGATTAATAAATTGCCAAAGGATATGAACAGACAGTTTTCAGAAGACATCAAAGCTATCAATTGTCACATGAAAAAATGCTCTAAATCACTACTGATTAGAGAAATGCAAATTAAAACACCTGAGATACTACCTCACAACTATCAAACTGGCTAACCTGACAGAAAAGGAAAATGACGAATGCTAGAATGTGCAAAAATTGAGACACTAAAGCACTGTTGTTGGAGTTGCAAACTAGTCTAACCCCAAAGGGCTATAAAACTGTGTATATCCTTTGACCCAGCAATATCACTTCTTGTTATTTAGTCAATTAGGCATCTCTGACTCTTCATGACCCCATTTGGGGTTTTCTTGGCAAAGACACTGGAGTGGTTTGCCATTTCCTTCTCCAGATGAGAAAACTGAGGCAAACAGAGTTAAGTTAGTAAATGTCTAAAGTGAGATTTGAACACAGGTCCTCTGGACTCCTCATATGCCAGCACTCTATGTACTGTGCCACCTAGCTGTAATACCACTATAAGGGTCTGTACTGTTAGTTGAGATCAAAGAGATCAAAGGGAGGGGAAAAGGACATATTTGTATAAAAATATTTATAGTAGCTCTTTTTGTAGTAGCAAAGAATTGGAAATCAAGAGGATACCCAACAAATGGAGAATGGCTGAACAAGTTGTGGTATATGATTGTGATGGAATGCCATTGTGCTGTAAGAAATGAACTGGATGCTTTCAGAAAAACCTGGGAAGAATTATACTATCTCATCTAAAATGAAGAGGTGAAGTGAGCAGGACCAGAATAGTTGTAAAAGCAATATTATAAAGATGATCAATGTAAAAGACTTAGCTACTCTTATCAAGACAATGACCCAAGACAATTCCAAAGGACTCATAATGAAAAATATTATCCACCTCCATAAAGAGATGATAAACTCTGAATGCAGATTGAAGCATGCTTTTTTTTCCTGCTTTTAAAATTTTTATTATTTTATTTTGTGTTTTCTTTTGCAACAGGACTAATATGAACATGTTTTGCATGACCACGTAAATATAATCAAAATCAAAGTGCTTGTCTTCTCAAAGTGGAAGGGCAGGAGAGAAGAAGAGAATTTAGAATTCAAAAGTTTAAAAATTGATCATTAAATTTTTTTTAGGGGGGAGCTAGGTGTTGTAGTAGATTCACTCAACCCGACTGCTTCATCAAAAAAGCAAAAAAAAATAAAATAAAATTTTACATGTGAATGGAAAATATTTAAGAAAATAAAAATAATTTTTAAAAAAGCTTACAATGTAGTTATGTAGGTATGCTACTGTAAAAACATTTTATTGCACTAATAATAATAATAGGAGAGAACATATAAAATCATAACAGCAATGGAAAATTAAAGCAAATCCTTTAGGAATTTTTAAGAAGTCAGTTAACAGATATGTCAGTTTCTTTCCTGAAACTCCTTTCCTTAGGTTATCTCATATTTTTCCAGCAATATTTCCTCCTACATCTCTAACTTCTGTCCTTTTTGGATAGTTCCACTATCTCTTGGCTCCTCAATCTGTCTCTTCTCTTTCTTCATACTCTTTCTTTCAGTGATCCTCAATGGCTTCAATTATCACTTTTATGCTATTGACTTAAATCACTATCAGAGTTCCAATATCATAACTAAAGATATACCATAGCTAAAGATCATTTCTGCTTTTTTGAATATTGTACCATCACCTTACATAGGCACGTAAGAGCTTGAGCTGACAAGGACTTTAGAATAGAGTGAGGCTTTGCTGCAGGAGGCACACTTCCTTTTGATACATCTTGGTTGAGTCAGCATCCTCAGCATCCCAACTAATACTTGCAGAGATGAGAGATGAATTCTCTTGGGAATGGGCCAATTCACCCCTCTGTAAATGCACTGTACCCTCAGTTGAAATGGTCTCTGCACTTCTCTCCAACTGAAAATGCCCAAAGAGCAAGAATTTCCAGTTATTCATCTACCTCAGATATCTAGTTCAGGAGTTCTTAGCCACTTTTTTGCTTTTCTCAGAGCCCCTCTCAATGCTAGTATCTTCCTTCTGAGATTATTTGCAATTGATCCTGTGTATATCTTGTTTGTAAATAGTTGTTTGCATATTGTCTCCCACACTAAACTGTGAGATCCTGGAGAAAAAGAACTGTTTTTTTGACCATCTCTGTATCCCTAGCACTCAGCATAGTTCCTGGAACATACTAGGTACTTACTAAATGCTGGTTAACTGGCTTAATCTCTTCATGACCCTTTTCCCTCCACCTCTGAAGACCTATGAAACTTATTACATGAACCACATATTTCGGAACTTAATTCATTCCATATTTGTGGAGCATTGACCAAACTGAAGACCTAATGCAAGAAAAATACAAAGAATGAAATATAGTGTTGCCCTCACAGAGTTTTTAAGTCTAATAAAAAAGGAAATACTAAATCTAATATAATGAAGAAAGTTTAAAAGTAAAATAAGCAGTGCAAACTTTGGGGGAGAAGGAAAAAAAAGGAAGGCTTCACAGAGAATGACAATCTTG